CGGCTACATCGGAAGCCTTCCTATCCTATGGAACCTCCTTAGCTGCCCATATGATGATGACATCGTCTTTGGTTGCAATACTCCAGAAATCGAAGACTCTTTGCAACTCCAACGAGTGTTAGACGAACCAGGGAATCCGTCAACGTCCCTCTCTTTATATCCCAAATTTACCAAATATTGTAACGCAAAGTTCCGTCTTTTACCTCCTTACACACATCGGACCCTTTTACCAGCTCTACTCCGTGATTGTGGGTAGACAAAGCATATTTTGTTCTTCTACCCATCCTTTACTACCCATATTCTTGAAACCTTTACGATGCCATAATGCTCCAATTTTATGGTCTAAAGCTCACAATGCTTTCCGGTCCTCGTGCTTTTATTCTGTGGGTTGTAGGCACATTTAGCTTTCTCACTGGTTATACTAGTTCCTTGTGAATTTCCGCGGACATATTAAAAACAATTTTATTCCTCTTGTCAAATCCCTTGTATTTCATTCCTGATGCTTTGAACTAAAACGAAAACCGCTCAATAATATTGGCAGTAACAAATACTTTCATGCATGCATCAACTTTTCGTCCAGGATAATAATCGAGTTACCTCATCCTTTACCAATAATTTTAGGCAGTAATATTGTTTTGGAAACGAAGAGGCCAAAACGCACAACTTGTATTACAAAAGAAGAACGGGTTACTAGACCAGCACACAAGCGTGCACATATAATAGGTATCGCCATACAACAACAACAACAACAACAACAACAAAGACTTAGCTTTTCGCTCGGCGTTACTTTTATGCCTCGATTACGTTCAATCTGTGAGGTCGTACTCACCGATTTGCCCTCGGATCTCCATTTTTACCCGTTCTTTAGTGAGTAGACCGGATTCGTTCTAATGCTGTTGAGTTGCTCAAACAGGGTTGGGTCACTTAATGGCGTTATTACCGGAAACGCGAGTAAAACCGAATTTCTTTAGAAAAGCAGGCTTTCACACATTACATCGTCCGCTGTTCTCGGTGTTGGGCCCGACATCATTATTCACTTGTGTCCGATTACCAGATTGTTTGGTAGACCCCGAGCCGCAGAGCCAAGCATCGTTCCTGATGTCCTGTTTAGATACTTCTTTTGTTTTTGGAACGACATTTTTCGTCTTGCCTGTGATACTTGCTTTCGGCGTCACATCGCTAGATCTACTCGTTCGACAAGGTCAAACTTGTAGCTGTAATATTATCCTATCCGGTGAAATCAAAAGAAACACGGTGTTACTAAAGTTTTGGCTGGTTAACCATGTATCTGCTTCTTTCCCCGCTTGCTTTAAACTTCTGCATAACCATTTTTGAAATAACTATACCGCACGCATGCAAACCCCTTTTTGCTCGTCGTACTTGTCGCTGACATTTGCACAGCTTTCAATGGAGGGTTGACACTCACGACTTCATGAGTAGCACACTGTGAACCACAGCTATTTTGGATGCGCGGAGGACTTCGACAACACGGAACAGCAGAAAACGACAAGAGCAAGAAAGAGTATCCGACAGAGGCACCGGAATCAGTCAGCATAACGCAGGCCCTACCGGACGAGTGGAAAAGGGACCGCGGGCGACGACGGGAAGAAAGTCTGCTCCCGGAAGATCTCAAACGATATTGGAGGAGAGGTCAAGAATTCAGACAAAGACGCCGATTGTTATGCCCCAAGGAATGACTCCAAGCCGAGTGACGCCTGGGAGATCAAGCAAGTCGAGAGCCTTCGAACAAATCCAGGCTGGTCGGAAAGCGACGTACAGGAGCGGAGATACGAAGCAAAATAGGCGAAGCTGAGTTGCCGAATTGTCGCCAATTGGCGGGCGAAGGTGCCCGTCGACCGCAACGCATTTCTGGTGCGTTGTGGTGTAGAAATGTGACTATATGTGTGTGGGCGTGAGCGCGTGTGGGACAGATCGTGACGTGCAATACAGATCGTGCTTTATTGCCCCGTCGTTCTTGCTACATTGGTGCCGTGACCAATCAGGATGAAATTGAGCTGGCCAACGCAGTTCGCGGAGGGTGATGTGGAGTCCTGGTTGGAGGAATTCGAAGCGATTGCCGCTTGCAATGGAGTGAAGGGAGACGGGAACCTACTGACAGCTTTGGGTACGCTGTTAACCGGACGAGCGAAGGCGACATATTTGTTGACTCGGAAAGTCAAGGCCGGTGGTTCGTTTGCTGAGATGAAGGCAGCACTTTGTCTGGAGTTTGGAAAAGAAATCGACCGCCAACATGCGCTGCAGCAGTTTCACTCTGCAAAGTGGGAAGAGCCGGAAGATCTGATGGTGTTTTTCCACAGGCTGAGCAGACACGTGGCAATTGGGCTCCCTGAGCTGGACGCCGCGGCAAGAGAACGATTGTTGCGAGGTCAGTTTATACAAAGTCTGCCAAGCGAACTCCAGGAGAAGGTAAAGCTGGCGTCCATGGTTGGGGTCGAAAAAGCAGAAGAACTGGTGACCATTGCACAAAGTTTCTTGGGGTCGGTGACCGTACGAAGAGTGCAACCATCCGAGCTGGAGCGCAAAGTACACCAATTATCGTGCATGGTCGAACAGTTGTTGGCGAGGGACAACCAAAGAAATACGGCACAACGGAATTGCTTCGGCAATCGGAGTAGCGGCCGCTGTTTTCGATGCAATCGCATGGGCCATTTTGCCAGATATTGTACAAACAATAATTTTTATCGTTGCTTCTCTTTATCCATACCGAGCAGATGGCAAGTACCGATTCTAGAAATAACCATCGAGGGCGTGTTAATACAGGCCATAGTAGACACGGGAGCGGGGGTATCCATTACGAAAAGAGTCGATGGGGTCCCGTTAACTCAGTCATCTGTTGTAATGCAGACGGTCGGAGGATATCGTTTGAAAGTAACGGGGGTACAACGTTTACGATTAGGAATAGGGAAGACACAAATCCGTCATTCAATGTTCGTTGTGGAGGGTGCGACGGAAACGATAATCGGCAATGATATTCTCAGGAGGCTGGGCGCCAGAATCGATTTGCGTAATGACGTGGTGATAGTCGATAAGGAGAGAATCGTGATGAACACAGGAAAATCCAACCGCGTGGGGTCCGTAGCAGTCATACCGGATTGTTCAAATCACGCAATACGCGAGACGCTGCTGAAATACGCGCATTTGTTCACGGATGCGAATGATGACTATGGGTTCTGCGACTGGATAGAACATAGAATACGGCTAATCCCGGGCGAGCGGTGCAAACCAGTGTTTAGAAGAATACCGCAGAAAACCATGCCGGAGGTACAGAAGCAGGTGGCAGAGATGGAGGCTAAAGGAATCATTAGACGAACGACTAGCCCGTACTCATCACCGGTTTTGCTGACGAAAAAGGCGGACGGGACCTTTAGATTCTGCATTGACTTCAGAGAATTAAACAGAGTGACCGTGAAGGACGCGTTTCCGATGCCTCAAATGGACGAAATTTTCGCCAGTCTTCATAGCGCAAAGCACATTTCTCTTATCGATCTCCGTTCTGGATATTGGCAGCTTCCAATTGCAAAAGAAGACCGGCATAAAACGGCTTTCAGTGTGAACGGCCAGCAATACGAATTTTTGAGGATGCCATTCGGACTGTGCAATGCTCCTGCAACATTCAGGCGACTGTTACTCATGATCCTGGAAAATCTTCAAGGGGTGGTTGTTTATGGAGATGACATCATTATCTACTCCGAAACAGAACAGGAGCATGCTACTAGACTCGCGGCTGTATTGCAACGATTGGACGAGGCGGGCTTGAAACTGAGTCGAAAGAAGTCACAAATAGCCCAGAAGTCTATTGTGTGTTTGGGTCACATTGTGGGAGATGGCCAGGTAAAACCACTTCCGGAGAAACGGGAGACGATCAAGAATTTTGCAGTGCCAAAATCCAAGCGTCAACTCCGATCATTCCTGGGAATAGTGGCGTATGATTCGAGATTCGTGCCTCACTTCGCGGAGAAGATCAGTCCTTTGTTAAAGCTTCTCCACAAAGACGAACCATTCGTTTGGACACCGGAAGCCGATCAAGCTTTCAGCCACGTAAAGACATGCGTCACAGAGGGACCAGCGTGTTTACGAATACCCAGTCCTGGCGAAAAGTTCACGGTGTCGGTCGACGCAAGCAATGTGGCAATTGGAGCAGTACTGTCTCAACCAGCCGGGGTGATAGAGTATGCCAGTAGAGTGCTGACGGCTGCAGAGCAGAAGTATTCGACGACAGAGAAAGAATGCCTCGCTATCGTATGGGCTCTGGAGAAATGGAGAACGTATCTCCTAGCTAGTGAATTCCGCGTCATCACGGACCACAAGCCGCTGTCGTGGTTGATGACCTCGAAAGACCCGCGGGGGCGCCTCGCACGATGGGCATACAGACTCCAGGAATTTACGTTTACAATCGAACACGTAGATGGAACGAAGAACATACTACCGGACATGCTGTCGCGGCCAACTTTGGATGCCCTCATGCCAGAAATGGCCATACCGGTGTGTGCGGTCACGGCGGAGGATAGGAGTCTACTGGAGAATCAGAAAACAGAGGAATTGGTGCGATTACTTTGCGAGCATTTGCAAGCAGGCACCAAGCCAGACACACAATCGGGAGAAATGAATGATCTCCTCAAGATCTGGGACCAACTGCATGTCGTGAATGGCAATTTGCTTGTGTCAGTAAACGGGAAGAAAGTACCTTATATTCCACAAACTTCCCGAGAACGTGTGATCCAAATGACCCATGATAACGCTCATATGGGCTTCGAACGAGTTTATGATTTGCTACGGAGAAGAGTATTTTGGCCAACCATGAGAAAGGATGTAGCGGCGTATATCCGGAGATGCCCAAACTGCCAAAAATGTCACGAGATGGATGCGCCGAGACCACCAATGAAATCAGTTGAAGTCAACGAACCACTACAGTGCTGGGGATTGGACGTCTTTGGACCGTTACCGGTGAGTCGATGGGGAAATAGCTACGTTCTGGTTATGATCGATCACTTTACGCGATGGGTGGAAGCCGTACCAATGAAAGACCAGACAGGCGAGACCGTGGCGCGTGCATTCGAATTCAACGTGCCAGCGAGGTATGGGATACCACAATATGTTATTACGGATCAGGGTCCATGCTTTGAATCGAAGGCATTTCAAACGTTATTAAACAAGTGGGGCATCGAGAGACGGCGTACATCACCCTACCATCCTCAAACCAATGGAATGACGGAGCGATTCAACCGAACCATGAAGGAATGGATAACGTGCACAAAGTTGGCGTGGGAGGATGCCTTACCTGAGGTTCTGCTGTCGTATCGTGCCAGCATGCAGTCAACCACCAAGGTTTCGCCATTTGAGCTACAGTTTGGTAGAGAGCCCCGAATTGCACTCGATACATGTATATCGGAGGTGTGTGAACAGCAACATCCAGCACCACATCACAAAAGATTGCAGGATATGGCCAGAAGAGGAACGAGATCACGGCAACAACGGAACAAGCTAAACTACGACGCCCGATATGCGACTCACAAGTGGAGACCATTCAACACCGGAGATCAAGTCAAGGTGCGCAAGCATGATCATCCAATACACAGAGGGCCCGGGGCAAGCAAGTTCAAAGAACGCTGGCAAGGTCCCTACACTGTAGTTGACCGAAAAGGAGTGAATGTCAAAGTTGACAATGGAATGATGAAGCGCTGGATGAATACAGACCTGGTGAGACCATGGCACACGAGAGAGCAACAACTTCGAGGAGGGGCGGGTGTAGATGCGCGGAGGACTTCGACAACACGGAACAGCAGAAAACGACAAGAGCAAGAAAGAGTATCCGACAGAGGCACCGGAATCAGTCAGCATAACGCAGGCCCTACCGGACGAGTGGAAAAGGGACCGCGGGCGACGACGGGAAGAAAGTCTGCTCCCGGAAGATCTCAAACGATATTGGAGGAGAGGTCAAGAATTCAGACAAAGACGCCGATTGTTATGCCCCAAGGAATGACTCCAAGCCGAGTGACGCCTGGGAGATCAAGCAAGTCGAGAGCCTTCGAACAAATCCAGGCTGGTCGGAAAGCGACGTACAGGAGCGGAGATACGAAGCAAAATAGGCGAAGCTGAGTTGCCGAATTGTCGCCAATTGGCGGGCGAAGGTGCCCGTCGACCGCAACGCATTTCTGGTGCGTTGTGGTGTAGAAATGTGACTATATGTGTGTGGGCGTGAGCGCGTGTGGGACAGATCGTGACGTGCAATACAGATCGTGCTTTATTGCCCCGTCGTTCTTGCTACACTATCAGATATTGCAAGTTTACTGCGGAATGGTTTTCTATCCTTTTGTCTATATTTGAAAATAAGTCTATCAGTCTGTCGGTTTGATGGTCGCGTTTTGCTTGAAGGGCCATTCAATATCACTGTTCGCTGAACTTTGGCAATCTAAAAATAGATTGTTGGTACCTTTGTTTTAGTCTTGGCATTGTTGTGGGCCATATAAAATTCATGCTGTAGTCCTTTGTACAACGGCACCGTAGCTCACTCCTGGCTTTGACTTTTGTGTGGACCTGTGTGTGCATTCTACGATTCGCTCAAATCCATGACAGAATCGTCGGTAACACACCACTTGCGTGGTCGCATGCTTGAATGAAGTTGCACGATTTTCGGTTTAGCGTTGTCAGCCTGTGGTTTCGCTTTGATGCTTTGTTGTATTTTAATCCGCAGTGCTTGCTGAAGTGCTGAAAACGCGCCAATGTGGGTCTATAATGCCTATTTTTACATAACTTGTATTACCTTCCAAGGAGTTGTGTGTAGGAGCGAGGTAGTCAGCGACTCATCCGTGAACAATGCAGCAGCAACTCAGACGGTCTCGTGAATGCTTTCAATGTATAGTTGAGAACCAGCATTTAACTAGGCCGTCCCCATAATGAATGTGGACTTTTAATTTGCATCATAGCTAAGCGCATTTGAACTGTTCGTTGTGGCTTACAATTTGAAGTCGAGTTGTCCTCTTGTATACTGGAAAAGCAACACCGTTTATGCTACATCACATTGCAGCACTTGGACGGCGTTTGTCTGAACTTGTCCAAGGCACTAAACTGCAAGGATCTTCGTACCGTTTTGTACGCACCTCAAAGCTACGGAATAATGTGAATTACACACTAATAAATTGCAACTTTGCTAGTTTTTATCCGCGACTATTCACTCATCAGGATAGAGGTATGCACTAAGTTCACGTTCAAGGTTCATTCGCTCGCAACTTCCTACATCAGTAAACCCGGTGAGGACCGTTGCTTACCTGCGCCGCTGCGTTAAATGATGCGTCGCGTTTACAAAAACGGCCGTGAGTGCCGCCTTAGAAGGCCACCTGCTTTGCTTCTTCATTTTGCCTTTACATTTTCTTTTTTATATCGTTAAAGCAACCATCTTCTGCGCATGCTTTCGTCATCCATTCAATCATCATAAGCTTCGATCTCCATCGACAGCTGTAACTACGCCATCCAGCTATCAAAAATGTGTACTTCAGGCGCACCCTCCACCAAGCTCCAAACTCTCCATCTACCTACAAGGAATCTGCTTTACATTTCTGAACTGTTTCCTGACACTTATAGTCGATAAGGTGTAGGTAACTCCAATGAATTATTTGAACCATTTTATCCCAAGTATAACTGGTATCATGACACCGATCAGGAATCTAATTCACAAAGTAGTAAGTTGCAGTTTGGAAAAGAATCCATAACCCGCATTTGGAACTGAAAAGCACTTAGTCAGCAACCCGCCTGTACTCAGATCTAACGATCCAGTGCAGCCTTTGGAGTCACAGTGGAACATTTGCCAGGACCAAGTAGGTGCTACTATCTTACAGAATGGTAACATTTGGATTTAAGCGGTTGAACATCCACCGTGACTAATCGGCGCTATGCGCAGGTTGGGAATGAGATCCTCAAGCTGGTCTATTCCATGGATAGGAGCAACTCTTTTAATTTAGGAAGAAAGGCAATCGTATAGAGTCAAAATAAATCGCTTGTGTCGATATTCAGTAAACCGCCACACACCATTCCTCATCGTATGCAACGCACACTTATTTGGCTTCAAATGTAGGGCGTAGATATTGTTTACTTGACTAGTGCATACATGCTCATCGCGGATACGTTGTCAAAAGCTCATCTGACAATGGCAGAGCATTACTCGGAAGAGATCAAAGCATAGACCTAGTACAGCATGCTGCGTTGAAGGAATTTGACTAAAAGCAATATAATGCCACGTGGCTGAAGGTTAAGCATATACAGCTTTGCCAGATGTTGTCCTAACTGCGCTGCGAAAGACAAAGGAACGGCTGCTGTAGAAACTAGCAAACTACTTAAATTTTCAGGATTAACTCACTAATTATGATGGTCTGCATTTAACGGGAAGCCGTATTCGGATCCCGTCATTATTCAGAAAAGAAATGCTGAGATTCGCCAATCGCGGTAACCTGGTTTCAACTTATACCACTAATCAAGCAATAAAAGTGCACTTCCGCCAGCAATCCAAAGTCAAATCGAGGCGGGCCGTTCACATGAAATCCGGAAAACGAGGGAACCAATGATAGTACATGAATTCCTGATCGATCATAACCAAACATGAGGTTCATTTATTCTGTGACAACGTGAGTGATGACTTAATTACTGTGGATTACTATAGTGATTACTTGAGATCAGATATCCAATTGCGAGGCAAGTACTACCGGAATAGCTGGTCTACGGTCTACGACCATGGTTCCCGATTTATCAAAGAAGCTTTCCATGTCTGTGAAACAAAGGGAGATTGCATGCACCCGTAAACCAACCCATAACACAGTCAACAGAATGGAAACTCAGAGACAATAGTTAAGCCGGCCAAGCGAAAGTTATCAAAGATTATAGCCACTCCCGAATACCCGTACATCATTCTTTTGGAAAATCACAAAACTTTTAAGGCGGTGTCTATTTGCACCTAGTACTAATCCACACAGTCTGAGGACCAGAAAGCTGATGCTGGCATCGGTTACACTTGTGCGCTTAGTTTCGCCGCAGTATGATAGGAAACAAAACAGTTCGGGAAGAAAAATGAGCACCCAGAAACGGCACTACTACCGTGGGGCACGAGTGCTGCCTTAACGAATTTAGTGTGTGGAAGTGTTGGTTTAACTATTACCCAGTGGTCTTGAGCGGTGGAAGGTGTGTTGATGGACAAGCTCGGTACAAGTTTATCTGCTTTAACTGTTAAAGGGAAATCGCTGAGAAGAAATCGAGTGCGTTTGAGACGAATCCGTGAACAACAATGTAATGGGGAGTGGAGCGCCCAATGGCGTGTGGCTTGAAGTAGGCGGCTGCAGATGCAGAAAAAATGACGCGGAGTGGCATTGTGTACATGGTACAAATCAATATGGAGACTAAGACAAGAGATTATCATATCGGCTGAATGGATGGACCAACGGGGCGAGCCAGATAGCCACTAGGAAACTGGTGTAACATATTCTTTTACTGAATTAGATTCGCCGAGATTCGCGCAAGTTACTCAACCCTTGTTTAACTGAACCAAAGGTGAACCTCATCGACTGAGAAGCGTCATTGATTATTGACGTAAACGTGTGACTTACATAGAAGGGTTTGGCTTGCCACACACACTTATATATATATATATATATATATATATATATATATATATTTGCTGTGAACAAATGTGTTTGCCCTTTGATAATACTTTGGCTTTGCACGATAAGCAAATAACCAAAAACGTGAGGTAAATAATATGGTTCGTAACGACAGGATCTGATGATAGCTTTCACAATTTACAATATATGTTAACCGGACAACTATACAAGAACTTTGATTTCCAATAAATATCTTTATTATTAACATTAACAGGTAGCAGTTAGATCTTTAAGTACCAAGGCAGTGATTTCGTGACCAACTCCCGTTAGGGTTCGCTTCTTCAATGCCTCTTTCGTTAACAAGATGGCATCCGCTTCCTTCGACTCGAAGTGCAAGAAAAAGACCCCTTTCAAATATCCCCAGCGTGGACCGGTTAGGACACAAGTAAAGTTCGTGTAGCTCGATATTTTCTCCGTATTAGCCAATTTCTCATACTTTTAGATTCATGAGAGTCAGTGAAGTAAGTTTACTACTTTCATTTGTGCGATGAATTCATTACAAGAGAATTGATTATATTTGAGAAAACTAGATTATATGCTAGAAATTTTGAGTGAAATACCATTCATTTCACACATTATTAGTCATTTTATATGACTCGAACTTGCACGCAGACAAATATACTCGTGGGTTACCAAGAGCATGCGACATTGCAAATGTGTTAAAATCAAAGCTGTACAAAGCTGTACTAGTCTAGTTCTTCCAATGAATTCCACCGCAACAATGCTTTTATCAGGTTACATTATTTTGCAGATAATTTTATAATTAACACCACAGCTTATAACTTATCTGTGCAGGTGCGCATACACTCAGCACGGTCTATAACGTGTCAAAGAGTAACATGTGTGTTTTCTACAAATTTAAGTTTGTTGGTTGGGCCAATGTTCAAATTCAGTCAACGCTTGCCACGTATAGTAAGCTAAGCTGTATCGATTACGCCCAAGCAATAAAATACAGAAAACTAGAGAATAAATTGCCAGGTGGTCTACTTTGCGCATCGAGTGTGTATTATGGGGCGTCTATTCTGATTTAGGAAATAACGGTATGTTATCTTGTGAGCAGTTTCAATTCCCTGAGAATTCTATTTGGGCACCGCCGTCTTCCAATAATAGTGAGTCACCTAGCTGAGTACCATAGCGCAAAGAGCTTACAAATGCACTCCAAACCGTTGCTTACTTTCGAACAGGTCGTCTCTGCAATATGCATCACCTCAGTTGCACTGCCATATACCCCGCGCCATTCACCCGTCAAATTATCTCCGAAGAATCCCACGGAAATTCGGATGGCTGAAATAGATAGACGGTATCGGAAATTCGAAAGGTGCACGCATGCTAAATTTTACGTAAAATGGTGGATTATACCATTATGGTGTAACTAATTCCCATGTTTGTAGCGGTCATGCTCTAGGTGCGTGTGTTTACTTGTGTGTTTCATTCAGTAACATTTTACCGTGTTGTGCCCCGCTTTGAACATGTGAAAACCGCCGGTACTTTGGGCATTATGCATTAGCACCAATAGGAAATTCACACTTGTGTTCCAAGAGACTACGTGACATACACTCGCAAGAGAAGACAGCTGTTCTGAAAGGCGCACTCTGATGAACAATGGGAGGGATGTCAGTTTGGATTGTTGCGTCAATTCCCACGGACACACGCCTGTCTGGCTGCAACTGAGGTAATACCCACTAAGTCCAGAAGCGAGGTTAAATGGGGACTAATGGCATTCATTGGTATGAAACTTACTTGCATATCCATTACCGATGACAGTCGCTGTAAAATAATAGCGATATCAGCTGCCTCGTCTAAACAATATCAATCCAAAAGGTATGTGGAAATACAAGTTCTTATACGGCCTATGTACATTATAAAATGTTCTGAATTTAATCTACTCAAATTACGTGACAGATTGCCGCAAAACATCTAGCATATTGATGAATTTGATCGTCATATATTCCAACATAATTGTTTTACTAAGATAACTATCTGGGCACAAAATGCAGGAGTTTCAAATAACATTTCAAAGTTTGGGACCAATTTACCGTAGTGTGGCTGCAGTTTTAAGTTCATAATTGTCGAATAATTCCTCCGTCTTTCAAGTTCCAAGAACAATTCCCTTACAAACTTGTGCAAACTAGCAGTTCCTTTATTCACTATGTTGACAATGACGGGAGTTTGCTTAGGAGGGACAATCAATGAAGAAAATCCACATCCGACCGTATCGTATGGCACGCATATCTGGGAAGAAATTGAGTCCCGGAACTGTAACAGCATGGGAAATAATGCGTGTCAGTGGGTAGTAGGTTTAAAGTGATCAGCCAGAACACATTATGTCATGTATAGCCCAGGCGTTCAGACATTAGGTCAGTGTATAGGTTGAACTGAGAGATTGGCATTAACGATTCGGAAAGCGCATAATATTCGTGGAGTCTTTTTACGTTGATGTGAATACTATGCGCCTGTAATCAAAAATTCAATGCAATATTGTTTACCATGATGCAGACATCTTCAAACTTTCTTAATGACGGATGATCTTCCACTTCCTCTTTAGGTAGCAATGATAACGGACTACCATCCTTTAGGAGTACTCCTGTTAGCATAATGACTGTAAGGACAAGCGAACATGAAGTACAGATTGTAAAACAAACTATTTTGCAAGGTTTTCTTGCAGAGATGACATGGTTATTCTGGCCAGCAGCGTGTGTGCCGGTTGTTCTGCGATTTCTTTAAATCGCAGATTACTTTAAACATGAAATTTAAAAGCAACACTAATTTCGACACAACTGACGTGGTGGAGAAAGTAACATTTAGTAAACACCGATTGTATAGCCATCAGTTAATGACAAACACCACAAATATGAACTCACCATGTTGACGCATTTGTTGGCATGGCGCAAACGCAATTGCTGTTGAGCGAACGTGGTAGTGTACATGAGGAGCACGTCATTAAATCAGTAGACACACAAGGTTTTACTGAGGTATATTAAGTCAGAATGCCCAAGTATGCTGCTTGGACCATGGTAGCGGATTTGGTAACTTGGTGTAGTTTGTATATTATGCACTCGAACGTGCATGAATTTCGACCAGCTTAGGGATTGCTTCGGTGGCAAGCATTTAAGAATACACTTGTTACGCATGTAAACGTCATTTACTAGGGCTGTCAGACACAAATACTCAATGCACGGGGTAGCTCTTTCTAGCAGGAATTTAGTGCTTGCTAAAGAAACAAGTAGTCTCAAGTGGCTTAGTTAAGCTTGACTGGGGCATCAACTATTTCTCCGCATAAAGTGCACGCGAGACATTTATTGCCATTTGCGCATCGGATGAATCAGCTGTTTTATATTTGACTACATATGACATGCGTGCGACTCAACAGCCCATACATACATCTTCCCAATAGAGATTACCCAAATTACGTTGTTTTCGTGGGTTCGGTCAAAGTAAAGAAAAGCTTAGAATATTCTGACTAATACTAGCGGTCTAGTGCATATCGAAGTAGATTATAAGATATTAATGGCCCATACAGTTTCGTAATAGAATGTCATAATTGTATACTTGGCATCGGAGGATAAATTACAGGCTCGGAACGCGTCACAAAGCTCACCAATCAGTAGTAAGCATTTTGGCTGGAACATAATGGCGCTTAGGCGATATTTCATTGGGGTTGTGGTGAGCATTTAATTTATATACACGCCACAGTGCTTGTTTTAGACTGTGAACATTTCTAGTTGGAGGATATGTGTATCGCACACACGAGAATTGATTTGCTATCTCTGCGCACCAATTTGGTAGCCGACAGTACCAATGTGATACACCCGCATGTGAGGTGTCAGTGTGAGTGACGGCAGAGGATCTACGGAGTCTAGGGTTGCTTAACGGAACATATGGTTGTCCGCATCCATCAAGTTGGCCCAAGACGGTTGAACGTTTAGGGTTTTCCACTTTGGTCATGAAATAGCAATGGCGGGAGTAGTGCGTGCTATGTTTAGGCATTTGCTGTGAACAACCCGCCTCATTTTAAGACACTGAACTTCATTGATTAGTATATTTCGTGGCTAGCTGTCTACAAATGCACTTTGCTCTGTCTTAGCTCACTGTTCATTTAAAAGACGAAACCGTAGTAAAAGTGGTGTAAATCGGTTTGATGGGAATACACGGAAATAGTCATATTTGCACATACTAACATCAAGCGCGAATTTGCTTGGGTTAGTATACACATTTGAACAGTTAACCAATGCACTGTTCTGCGATATAATTACCAGGAAAGAAAATATTTGGATTTGGCAGTAATGCACTGGATGGCCATAACTGACATCTGCACCGCCTGCTAAGCTACGACCAGTATCTGCTTGCCAAACCCTGTTTGTTTTCAGATTCTCTGCCGTGCACAGTTTTTATTCAAACTTAGCTCTTACATCTATTTGGTGACCACTGTTCACGAACGTATCCCGCCCAATGGGAAATAAACCCAATTAAATATTTATACATCCATCCACGTAACTTGCCCCATGTGTCACACTTGCCTGTCGTCCGTTCATTCACGCATTCGCATACAACATATAAGTGATAAGTTCTGCCTTGAAATTATCCGGGAACGCAACGCACCTCACCCCCTATGCACGATATAACAAACGTGTTATTGCTTGAGGTTATCTGAACTCATAGAAGTGCCTGTGTAATTCCTCGCGGTTACCCTGGTTTTTTAAATAAATCCGTACAGCGATTTATACTGTTATCGCATACCTAGAAAAGGCTCCCTTTTTTCGTACCCAGCATTATTGTTGACGTATTTCTTTTCTGCATTTTGATTTCCATTTGTACAATACCCTATTTTACTTTTTGCTTTGTTTATGTTTGATCCAGGAGATTCATGATTTACTCACTTCGCAGTAATATGTCTCTATAACACAATCGATCGAAAGTCGAAAACTATGTATGAGCGGTTCAAAAACATCGAGAAAGCACTGGTGATGTTAATATAGAAAGCTGTGTGTAAAAATCTGTTTGATCGACTCTTTATTGCCACTTCCCTGGAAGTTTAATCTGTCGATGAGCAAATTGATTTGGTCAACATAAACGATCTTAACGGCCGGCGCGTGAGGTATCCATGTAAAGCTAACTTTAATACAGTGTTTAGTATAATCCAATGCGACGATTATCATAAAAGTGGTGTTGCTTCCATTGTCGCATTGTCGTAACACTATACAGATCTGTTACAAGAAGTTACGGTGTGTGGAGGAAATGTCTGAGAGAGTACATCCAGAAACAACTTGTAGTGATACGCAGCATGAATTGAATATATTTAGGGGTGCTTGGAAACTAGTATTACCGGTAAATTTGCCGAAACTGCAAGCGGTTATCTGGTAGCTGATTCATGTATACATGGTCGTTTGCGTGGCTAAGACTGTCCTATGTTTTGGCCGTGGTTGGATACTATACAAATGCTCAATGCTGGTTTTCTTGTTACCTTAGTTAACTCAATGCACTTAATAAATTTTAGGGCATTGAAAATTTAAGTGATAACACGAAAGTTTAAGGTGCATATATTTCTCCTTGCCTCCTCATTATTATTAACCATGGCTAGTATGCATAATTGTGAAAACGATTGGGTGTGACTAGACCAGTTTGGGGAATCAAGTCACACTGTGGATTTTAATTCCTATGTAGAAGCGGAGCCAATTACATAGGCACAACCAACAAGCCCCTGAATTCTGAGTAAATGAATATGTGCCGAGATGAGTAGGGAATGCAATTGCCCACACACCCTACCCTATCTCAATTCCGGGCTTGCTTAGACCGCTGTATTACTCGATGGTCAAACAATTTCCATTTTATGGTCATGACTCAGTGTTCAACATCATGTTATGTCATGCTGTTCCCTCCTCCCCTCGGTTTGCTAAAGCTGTTGCAATATGGCGTAAAAATGCAGTTCTTTGCAACCACTCATTCTTAAACCTTGGCCGGTCACGGACGTAAAAGTTGAAACGCCGTAATTGCATCAGCGAGCCAATAATAGTAATACGTATAATATCCATTTTTAGTTTCAGCAAACATGCTCTTTTCGGCATGTTTGTCTCACATGATATCCACACCATAGTTTAAATGCTTTTATCCGTAATGGCTTTCTAGTTGTAAGCTCTGGTTTGATATAGAATAACTCCCTATGTTCAGACAGAGAGCTGCTTTAACCTACGGAACAAGGTTTCCTTTTCTTTGCGGTGAAAGATGATGAGCAGACGTGTAGTGACATGAACATTAAGAATCAATTTTAAACTTAAATGAAATAATAACTATTTTTAGATAAATTTCATTATTCTATATATAATGGACTTCTAAAAACGAGTAGTGCAAGACGGAGGTATTTGTCTTCATATTAACAGCTGCGCATAACCAGGTGCAATTTGCCTACCTGCGTGTAACGCAGACGTGGTTGGCATTATCCAACCGATCAGGCGTTTGACTTTAAATGTGTGCTAAATGTATGAGAACAGGGAACAATGAAAATATATAACGCGATGGAGAGTTAACAAGCAAAATCGGTTATCTTCTCTTCCCTGCCGGATATTTCGGCATGCGTTTTACTTCGGAAGATGGATCGAATAAAAATCGAACGAATAAAAAATGTAGATAAAGTTAGATAGAATAAGTTGATTTTTGCCCTCCGGTTCACACTATTCAGAACGTTGCAAGTACGCATTGCTGAGTAAGTAGAACGTGAAGGGAAGTGATATAAATATGTGGCATAATCTCCGTATTCACTGATACTAGCGAGGGTTCACACTGGTGTAAGTACTTTAGATTATATCAAAGTTTCCGCTTCCTTTTTAAAACATTTCTTCTGGATTAATGGCCAAACAAACACACCATACGTAGAGCAATTTCTGCATATTTGTACTCTGTGCCCATATGTCACTTCCCCCTCCACGAATAGTACTTCTCTTGGCAGTTGTAACTGCCTACTTGAACGAATGTCACGATTCACAAGATTTTGTTTCAGCTAGCAGGCATTTCTGAATTTCAGTGTAGATGTTCAGGTAACTTCTGCGGATATTGCTTCTCAAGTTAAGCACTAGCAGCATATACCTGGCATTTATAATTTCATATATATCTTCATGTTTATGGTGGCTAGTAAAGTATGGTGCAAGGAGAAGTTTATGGACTAGATCAAATAAGAATGATAGGTCAAGGTTTATCCGCCTTAGCCATATTGTTTTCAGATTAACAAGTAGCAAAGCACTGCATGGTTCAAATTTGATGGCAGCTTGATGACAGTCTTCGTAAATCAGCGCTGCACCTTATCTTGACACAAAGAATCCGTCTCCAGCTGCGTGTAAAAAAGCCAGCAATACTCTAGCACAGAGCAAATTCTGACCTTGCGCAAGAGTAACATGGAAGCGTGCATCGTGAATGATTAAAAGGTACGTTATGCAATTCGTTACCTTGGCCATAATAAGTTAATTTGAGCAAAAAATACAAACGGATAGGATCCCGTCTGCCTAACTCACGTATGTAATTATCAGAGGATGGAAAGGCATTGATCAATTACAAATACTTGGTGCCACAAACTGCAATATCAGAAATGCAGCAGAGCAATTAATGCCTGCAAGAACATTTTAACGTAGTAATATTTGCAAGGATATACTTCCACACACTGGCGGAGATCGAAAAGAATATGAGAACAATTAGTAGATGCTGACCAAATCCTACAGCTGACGGGATCACATTTTCACTGACAAATGCCTACGCGATTCATGGACCGTGATTTAGGGCTTTTGACTAAGGTACCCAAGCGCACTGACGGCGATAGATCCAAGTGTCAACTATGGTTGAGCTACGATAGGGAATGAAAGCAATATATAAATCATTGCCTGGCTTCCTTTAATTCTAATCAAGGTAAGCTTTATGCACCCGATTAATAGCAACTGTTGCACTGCACAAGCTGATAAGCTAGTACCTTAAAAGATAAAGATTAAGGTGAAAGATTCCAAGCGCAAGAACGACGGTCAATAAGAGAAATCTCTATCTGTCTACAAAAGGACGGCGTAAATTATAAGTGAACATTTTCTTATGAATGTCATTTTTAAAGTCCGGTATATGGAGCAAAATAGGCACACACTACAATGGGTGATGTTCCACACTTATGATTGTTGCGTGTGTTATTTCAAGGAACACTGTTGTGATTTTTACAAAAACAAAAACCATTTGCTGTTGTATTACTCCTGACATTAAGGTTGAACAGAAACAAGTTGATATCCACGGATTGTCAAGCCTATCCTGTGACATTTTAGGAAAATAATCACTGTCCATATACTTGTCAAATGCTTGAGAATTCCTTTTATTCCAAATAATTTCATCCGTTATATCCTAGCTAAACCTAGTAGTTCATCATATAAACATCTAGATGTGATCTGTGGGATTGAATTATGTTTTGCAGTTAGGCATACGAAGGTAAATGGAATGTAGGCAGTTTTGTCAGTGTTTTCTATCATTTGTGGTTACGGAGCATTCTACGACGTCACTACTGAAGCAACACTGAAATGCTCGGATGTTGATCACTTGGCTGGGAGGGGCGGCGAGAGCGGCTCAGAAATTTGCCATATGTTTTATTGCAGAGAACCCGTAATAATAGCTTCAAAAAGATTTTCACTTATGCTCCAAGGCACATGTCTGCAAACGTTGTGAACTGCTTCTGGAATGCTTTACTGAAAACATTTAGGTTTCCATTAATTGAGGTAATATAATGTTCAACTTCCACTACGCACAAACACCAGCTTTCACGAAGCAATGTGAGCTGAGTTGCTCACGGATGATGCATATGCCATCTTTGGTGCATGAGCACTCAAGTAATCGCCCCATTGGACCAGTAGGCAAACATAAATAATCGGATGATTTGTGCACCATTTCAAACCTTACTGTACTCGAATCACCGCAGTTGTTTTAAGATGTATAGC